TCTCGCCATTTTTCACAGATACTCTATCTTTGAATATCTATTTATTTTCACCCTTTTTCAGCTTGGCTGTTACTACTTCTTTAGGATTATTTTGTCTGCCTATTCTCAAGGTTCCAGTACAATAAGTTTTATTGTCTAATAGTTTTCTCGCCAACTCTGCACTATTATAAAAATTGTCTAAGTAAACAGCATGCCCATTGTCTAATTTCTCCTCCAACATAAATAAGACTATCTTCTCTGTATGTTCTGATCCGTCATAAATATCGGAGGCCCTTTCATGAATGCGAAATTTCAGAATTAACCCAGTAGGTTCAGTTAGCATGTACAATTTAATGTCATATTTATGACGTTTATTATTTACCTACTGTTTAGCTTCGTCTAAAGAAAGTTCTATGTTTTTGGAACGATCGTTTGTATTTTGATTAGAAGAAGTACAATGAAGACATCTAAGATGATGAGGAATCTATTTTTGACATGTATCTTCTAAACAATGGTAAGTTATATAAGTTGTCAGTTTTCCAATAATCAGTTAGTCGCAAAAGTGATATTGTACCAGTATGGAGAAATAGACCTAAAAATACTTTAAATTCATCCAAATTCAGGGTTTTTCACTCTGTAATGCAAGATTTCACACATGTGCAAATGAAAGTTCCACAGCATAATTATTACTTTCATCTACAATAGTTTGAAATAAATCATTTGGCCTGGCATCTCAGACATTATTGCCTCTATTGTATCGTCATCATCTGAACTGGAGATTAATGTATCTTCACTTAAATAATCCTCATCACTGTACTGCAGTGTCGTTCGTCAAATGTTGATAAAGTTCTTCTTTGGACATAATTTTTCATTTTTCTGTCACATTTTTCCCATAAGTAGGCCGTTTTTGTAAGCCAGAAGTCATAGCTTGATGGTCCATATTGATGCAAGTAAAATTAACACCAACTTTTTATAACAAGTTTAAGAAACAACAATAAAACGTTTGTAAACAAGCTTATAAATAATGCAGTAGTAAAGAAAATTGACAATAACTGATGACAGTTATAACCAGTGTTCCCAAACTGAAAAAATAAAATCGGTAAAATTCTGTCAAAAGTTCGGTAGATTGTAGAGTCAAATATTTTGTTTACATTTCATTGTTTTGTGATTGCTTTGCTTATATATTATTGCGATTATATTCAATTAAATCTAACAAAATAAAAAAAATGATAATTGAGATTGAGAACCGAGATACTGAAAGAAAGTTGGTACTTCTGGCTTGTTGTTTGTTGACATGGCTCTAAGGCTACTTTCTGTTGCCAGATTAACATTTTTAATGCATATTGTAACGTCGATATTTGATAACATCTAGTACATACATTTAATTTAAGGTCAGGTTAGCTCTATTTCGGAGAGAAGGTGTGGTAAGGTCAAATGCACAAAAAAACTACGTAGTACGTCAAAATTTCAAACACAATTAGATAACATGAAATTATAATTTATCATTGAACGCCACCCCTTGTTTATCCTCGTAGGGGACGAGAGAGAATAAAAAAATAAGATATATAAAAAAAAATACAGCGAAATTACACTTTATTTCTCAGTAATAAAAAGAAACATTAAAAGTTATGTTATTTCCAAAGGATACTAAAATACCATTTCATAATTACATTACTATAAACAAAGCAACTTTCTATCTTTTTAAATCAAGAATTGGTTGATAAAAACAAATGAATTTATATATTATTCCCAAATTTCGAAATTCGTTTACATTTAAAATATTATAGTAGTTATTTATTAACTAGGCAACATAGAAAAGTTAAATCTATTTATTAACTAGGCATAATAGAAAAGTTAAGTCTTTAAACAAAATTTAAAATATTTTACTATATTCTTGTCTCTGTGAATCCATAAATAATTCTCGCGTTCCTGATAGGGCTTAATAAAAAAAAATAGGTACAACCTTATTTATCCAATCTCTGGGAACCAGGAAAAAAGGGATATACTCTGCTTCTTCTCATCCGTTGGTTATTTCATCAAATATTTACTAATAGGAATCCATTTATATTATAAGTAATTATTGGAGACCATATATAGGGAAGTATTGGACCATAGGAAACTGTCTCAGTTACTAACATAATCAATGAACTTTAACCTCCCGGAAAGAGTCTGAAAATAATTATTCATCTGAAATATAGTCAAGAAAACGCTTTTCTTTGCAGCTTACCTCTAACCTAGAGACTCACTTCTAAAACACGTCCTATCGGGTGGACGTTTGTAACAGGAAAGGAAGCGACGCTAGTTCAACGGTTTTGAATTGGGGGCGTGATTGACAAGTTAATATCGTTCTCATCTATCGGATATGTTGAGAATTACCGTAGAAACCTTGAGTCGAATACAAGCACCTGGCAGATAGGTGTGGTTAGTAGTTTTATTTAAAAAAATAATCAAATTTATAATGAATTTTCTAAAACTTTTGAAACGGTTACAATATTAACATCTGGATTCTGGAAGTATAACTAGAGAACCGACAAGATTAGAGGGCTTAAAAAACTGTATTTGTCACGTTCATTTCGTAGAGCTACCGATTTTTCGGTAGATTTGGGAACACTGGTTACAACCACGATGGCAGCTTTGCAACAACTGAAAAAATTATCTATAAATAATACACCTATAGGTGTGTTAGGCAGTCAACCTGTTAATAAGAGAAAGGGGATACGAATTCCCATTTAAAACGTCTTAAGTAATTGACTGGATTCACTATGTTAGAGAGGATGTGACAACTTCTACGTCCTTAAGGGAAATCCTTCTACAAGGTTATGTTTAAATATTGTATGATGAAAGGAATAATAAATGAGGAAGCGATTGCTAGCAACGCTCTTTCTGAATCCTTTGTTTCTTAGGATATTGTCAAAACCTTGTACAATTAACAAACATGTCAATGTCAAGGAAAGAAATGGTGTTGTTTACCTCCATCCCACATATAAATTGTAAGTGGGAATTGTATTCAAGAAAAATGGAAAGGGTGTTCATAATTTGATCAGAAAGTACAGCCAGGATCCAGGTTTTGTTTTCCACTTCTTTCCATGCAGTACTTACCAGATTTTTGATGCTTGTTTTCCCAAAGTATGACTCGAATTCAGCAGTTGTTGATTCGTCTCTAAATGCTTTCTTATTTAAAAGAATAATTATTAGAAAAACGCTGAATTTGTTTTCATATTTTAGTTTGAGTGCATATTTTGCACTTTGAGTTCTTCTTCTTCGGAACTTCTTCTCAGTCACCTTTTCTGAGGTCTCTATCTATCATAGCATTTCTTATATGTGTTTTCCATCTTGAAGTAGGTATTCCTTTTCTGTCTGCCTCCCAGCGAGTCCCAGTCCAATATTCTTTTCGGCCACCTGTGCTCTGGCATTCTTTGTACATACTCCTTATTATTGTAAACTCCGGAATATAAAATACTTGATTCTTCCTTCAATAAAGCGCTGCCTCGAGTAACAGTCAGATTGACACTGTTCTAGTTCAAAAAATACATGTGTAATGCGTTTTTATGTAAGGTGTATGAAAGGTAAAGATGATCTAGTTTTTCTGACTTTATTTACTGTTGCTTTTAAAACTTCTGTTAATTTTAATGTAAACCATTTCCTAACGTTAAGCAACCAAGATATTCTGTTTCGTGATTGAATCCATTTCGTGAGCGAAGCATTCATGACTCAACAAATACTACTGCAGTGGTGAAATAGTAAAGTTTGTTGCTTCCACAATAGTTCTACAGAGCTTCTTAATAATACTGTTTTTTGGTTTCACCTTGTAGGTGAAACGTGCTTCGGTGCTTTTTAAAAAATTGTGCTACCCATTGTTACGCCCAAAAATGTTAGCGTTTTACTTTACCTAAAAATAGTGTCAACCCATAATGAACTTCCTTAACTAGAGTTTATTGTTGAGATAAAAGGAACTAAGTTTTGGAATAACGTGCTACATGTTATAGTGAGAAATCAATTGTCGGCATACCAGTACTTTCTTTATTGTGTTTTGTAGAGGTCTAAAGTATACAGCCTACATAGCAGTGGGAACTACCGATCCTTGTGTCAAGTTGTTCTCAAGTTTTTTCAGGAAGCTAATGTAACATTTATAATTTTGTCTTAAAATCTTCGAAAATATTAAACATAATCCACTGGTTTATTTATGTTAGCAAATGCCGCTAAACGAAAGCAATTACTGTCATTCTTTTTATTTCGCCTTTTTTAGGTTTCTCTATTTGGATTTTCTCTGCAAATCCCGCATGATTTAAAAATGATCCAATCGAAACGATCAGAGTGGGCAAGATAAATCGAAGGTTACAGGAAAATGGTGTTAAATTTTACCGGCAAAAGCATTAATGTATGTCGTTTTGGAGAACTTGACAGATCATTCTGATTTTGGCAGAGTTGGCGACCAATAAGGTTATACCAGGATGATCCCGGTGCAAGCGACGTCTAGCTTGTTTAAGTATACCTTTGCCGATATAGGCGTTTCCTTGGTAATTTCTATACTTTTATTTTTGAGGAAGATATTACGATTTTCATAATTTCTGGTAGATCTACTGATAAGATAAAACATGTCCAGCTGCCTGCGTACAAAAACCAAAGCTGACACTGTCACTTAAATTGGATGGTTTCCTAAGGGATCTTGGGTTCATCCTTGAAAGCAGTTCATCTAGTTAATCGTCATTAAATCAATCCATATAGACAATGAGAGTATATGGTAAATTACACGAAGAATTTTGTATATTACGCCTTTTCTCCACACTATGTTGGAAGCAGTCGGAAGATCAAAAAGTAGCGCTGAATTTATCTCTCTCTTATAGTTTGTAGGTTACTCACAGCTCATATCCATTTTTAACTAAATGCTTACCATCGACATAATCTTTGTGGAGATTAATAAAGGGAAAAATAACGACAACTGCTTATTGTAGAAAAATTACTATGTATTAAATCGATAAATTATAAATTATGTAAAAATTATATAACAGAAAGTAGTATGTACAAACACAGCCATTAGTAAAAGTCTTGCAGGGCCCCTCCGGATGGATGTCACTCGTCCCCGACATACCTTAAAGAAAAAGAAAAAACCAAAATAAATAAAATGTAAAATCTACTGTCAAAATTAAAAATATGATAAAATAAATAAAAAATAAACAAAACTTTTCTAATTTTATAATACGATTATCAATAAATAGAATATATTAATCCCATAAAATAATTTTGTCTTAAGTACCAGTTTTACTAGCAGCTAAATGTTATCCTTTCATTGTTGCGTTAAGAGAGATCAAATTACAACCATTTGACTAAAATACACATGATCTGCGATAAAAGCAACCCAATAACAATGAGTCTTTAATACTTTTAACCAAATCTTCTTGTTACAATAAGTCTACTCTTACTTTGTAATCTGGGCGGATTATTTAGAGTTTGCAATATGAATTGTCTCTTGGTAATCATTAATTGTATAGAATTAAAAACTAATAAAAGAACCAAAAAGAGCCAAAAATAAAATTTAATAAAGAAGAACCAAGGGCAGGTAATAACCGGACAACAAAAACGAAGTGTTTTAAAGATAAGGGACGCCAGGAAAATAAAAATAATTATAATAATAATAATAAAATAAAAATACGAAAAAAAAATGTGTAAATAATAGGGAGTATTTGTTTAACGTTGGTACTAGTGATATGGGTCGCTGTCATGTCTCATCGTCATTTGTCAGAAATCAAAGCATTTCTATGGTTTTTAAATTACTGCTCTAAAAATGTCTGCTTAAACTCATCCAATTTGTTTGCGAGTGTAATCATTTCTTGGAACCGAAAAGCAAAAAACAAAATGATCTCATGTTCTATATTAAATTAGCTATGGTTGGTATAACAATGAAACATTTTCACAAAAAAAAATGGCGGACTTAAGATTTTCGAGTCTTTTTGTACTTTTTTTTTCGTTTGTAACTTTTTTAAATAACAATGAAGATGTTTGGTTGTAGAGCCGACCATAGAAAGAGACATCTAAAGAGTCAAATAATAATAATAAATAGTTTGGTTCATGTTGATAAGTGCAATAGTTTCGAAACACGAGTGACACTTGATTGAAAAAACGTGGGTTCGAGAAAAGACAATTAACCTAAACAGCTGTCACCTCTTCTTAACTTACCTCAAGGTTGCGCAGACTTTTGGTACTAATTTTATACCATATGACCAATATGAGGTCTAGCAGGAAGAAAAAGCAAACTAAGAATGAAAACTAATATAAGATTAATAAATAGTATAATTCTTCCTATACTAACATATCACCTATATGAGATACGTTGCAGAGAGATTTCTCTTTAGATAATTGCAGCAAATTAGATCAGAGAACTACTCTCTGATTAGAGTGACTAAAATGATGAAGGATAAAGCAAGGACAAAGTTCGCAGAGAGAGAGAGAACCATCCAAGTCACACAATGCGAGAGATCATGAGGTACGGCGCAGTCCTCAGATGAAAGCACAGAAGACCCAAACAACAAATAGTAGAATAAAACCAAACGTTAACTAGAGAAAAAATTAACACACACACATCAGAAAGAAAACAAAACACCAGAGAGAAAACATTACAAAAAATAACATAGCAGCACATACAGAAGATAGTTCGTAGCTCGAAAAACTCGTTGACAATCGCAACGAAAAGCGCGAGCCCAGCTAATTTTAATTTTAGTTTTGTTTCAGGTAAGTATTCTAAAAAAAATCCACAAAAAACACAAACAACGGCTTCGGCCAACGAAAAAAATCAAAAAATTTCTAACAAAAAATCGGAGCAAGCCATAAAAAAAAATAAACAAAAAAAAACACAAAAAAGCCTGGCACGTAGGCTCAACCCCTTGAGCCCAACCCTCCGAACTCAGCCTAGCTTAGAGCGGAGACTTGAGGCCCATTAAGATAACAGGATTATAGCGACAATACGCTGTCCTGAATTTGATTCGGTTAGGGAACAATGTTGAACCAGAGTTCTATTACCCAGGACTCCCATATGAAGAGCATTTTGCTTGAGAGTTGTATCCCTATCGCGCATCAGAGTGCTATAGGGGGGAAAGGAATGGTCTGGAACATTGAAGGGCGGTGAAGCGACTTTTGTTTTTACTCGAGTTAATATTTGCTCCAATAAATTGTTACACCCAAACCTAATTTTTAGGGATAAACATGTCTCACAGGCTGAGTGTAATCAAATTGCTTGCTGGCTTACTTGTGATGACATTTACAATGGAATTGAAAATAATAAGATACAAATTAGCATTCCAACCTTAGAATGCTACAAAGGGAGTTAGGTTGTTTAGTATGGTAAAAAAAGTACCAACACCCACGATGAAGCATACATGTCATCTATTTTTCCATTAAGAATCTGTGCAGCAAATTGAGATACATTTGTAATGTTCCTAGATTTTCATTATTATGTTTATATTTATGTATTCATAACAATATATATATATATATATATATATATATATATATATATATTATATATATTATATATATATATATATGCCCTCTACTTTACTAGTTTCATTTCACTGATATCGGTAAAATTAAACATACAATTTAAATCCCTAACATTTATATTGAAATACATTACGAATATTTAAAAATGAGAAATTTCAACGTTAGTATTTTGATAATTTAATTATCGTAGGCATGTAGGTAACTGCTGGTAATTTTATTAATATAAAAGTTATAAAAATGCATTTTTAAAATTACACGAATTACTCTCAATTTAGAACTGCACGATAAACAAAGCTTTTATGACAGAAGATTAAAGTGGTGTTTATACAGCACTGTTGAAAACAGAAAATATTGCAGTGTTTCCATTGTCCTCTCTTCTTGAATAGTGCTCATATATAAGTCTTTCCAGTCATCTCATCTGGTGTCTCGTGATTATATACTCAATTTTGGAAAAGTTGTTATAGCCGTTGAAATAATACCTTCGGTCGATATTAGACTTAGGGGCCATGGGCGTAAGGAATTAGATGAAGATTGCTCAAAACAGAGATGAATTGAAGTAAGTAAGAAGATCAGATAGAAGAAGAGCTGTAGAATGGTCTAGAAGAGGTGGACAAATGCAGTCAGAGGATGTGGAGAAAACGAAAAAAGAGGGTGTGTAATAGCACAGAACCAATAAGAGTGGAAGATAATAGTAAACGCGGCAAAGACTCAAGAATAATTATAACGCCAATGATAATAAGAATAAGATCTTTATTACACTGCTTTATACTAATTTTAAGTAATAGAAAAAATACTGATTAATATTATGGATTATTGTATTTTAATATCTTCGGGAAAACTTCAATGAACGATCAACTCATCAGCGAGTTGCTATCTTTAACCGTAGTACTCATCCATTAGCCAACTAGATTCACTTTGTATTTTGTAGTACCCCGCTGAAAAATTTCTGCGCTGAGTATGACTCAGTATGTGTCAAGAATTTATTAAATTACTTACATCAAAGAGAGTAAGACAGCCTGCTGAGCAGAAATCAAACAATATTAATCTCTTATAATTTTTAATTTTGCTTCTGTCTAGCTTCTTCCTTTTCTCATATTACCATTTATATATTGATATTTATATAAAACAATGTTTTAAATTTTGGGATATTCGAATGATAGGTAGCCAAACTTTCTTTTGAAAGATATGATAAGAGCAAGGTGTGGCTGGTGGAAAGATTGTATGAGCATGGGAGAAAAATTTGGTATTGAAGTATGGTGTGAATGGGAATGGAGAGATAGCTGGTCTAGTATGATTAAGAGTGTGATAGAAAAAAAGGAGATACATTCGATGGCTGTCCAAACTATGATGTGGAGTTCTATATTTGAATGATCGACCTGGCAGAAATGATTAAAGAAGGTTTTGCTCAATGTGTAACACAAAGGAAAGGGAAGATGTGATAGATTTTTTGAGAAAATGTTTAGTATTAAGACAGAATAGGTATAAGTGGTTAGGTAGAATCTAGAACTTAGAAGAGTAGAAGTAGTTAGTATGATGAGACAGGGACGGGCTGATTTAGCAGGTTATTGTAGAAAGGCATGGCCGTATACGTATGAGTTAGTGAGCCTATTTAATTTCTAAATCAATTAGCATGGTGTTAGTTCATTAATAATTATAGTGCATTAATAATTTTTTTGCGTATAGCTATTATCTTAGATAGAATTAGCCTTAGTGTAATTTTTTGTATATTAGAAAATATGTAATATTTGTTTGGCAACCCCCCCAATGGCATTTGCCAAGGAGAACTATGAATGTCGCTAAAGGAGAATATTGTATTGTATTTTTTTTTTAATAAGAAATAAAAAGTCATTATTGATTGATTGATTACTATATTGATATTGCATTGCAGGTGCAAAAGTCATCTAATTTCTTTCAATAATAATTATAACAAATAACTCTGTATTAAACGGTATATATTATGTAAAACAAATTATAACTTTAATTGTTTATTTGTCATTATAGTAATCCGGGGAGCCCATTATAATTTTATCAACAATTCACCAATGCGGGTACATCGCTCGCAAAACGGTCACAATTGGCATACAGGTTTAAATAATTGATTAAAAAAGCTATAGGCAATAGTTCATCAGTTCCGCAATGTGTAATAAAATTTATTATTCAGCCGATCAATCTATTTAGCTGTACAAGCCAGGCTACAATTTAGAATTTATGTCAAATTAAATTTTGTTAGTGATTTTTTTTGCATCAAAATCAACAGCAGATCTGCGATGCGGAATTTATTATCGGCTATATTTGTATACCACTTCACGTGTTATGTTAATGGTACAATTTGGTAAATTCCATTTGGCTTCACATAGGCAAAGATAGAATCTTTAAACAATGAGAAATGCAAACTTTTTTGGTGTATGTTTTTATTTTTTAAATAATTCCATAATGGAACTACACAAAAACTTAGTGGACAGCTGTTTTTTGACCAATCACCCAAACTCTTGCCTGGTATTTGATTTTATAACAGTTTTTAGATATTTTTCCTCTCTTCTCCTCTATCTTTTCTCCTTCGCAAGGATGTAGTAGCGTAATTATCTCTGTCCTGTG